GCAAATACGCAAAATTGTAAGAATTCAAAACAATAATAAAAATCCATATAACAAAAATTATTTTAAAAGAAATTACATATTTTTAGTAAATACTAAGTCATTAAAATAAATTGGAATTCCAATAAATGACATGTAATTCGTTAAACCTATTAGAAATGTGCTATAGTATAAAATCTTTAGATAAAATTTCTAAAACTGATATCTCTTTAAAAAGGTTTAAATTTTGGCGTGAAAAAAAGGGCTTTCGAGAAAATACTAAAATAGAAATCTATCGACAAAGACTACTCACTTCTGCCTAGCTTAATAGTATGAGATTGCCGCAGCTGATAGGGTGAATTTCGGAAGAGATCACGTTTGATGAGAATGCTCTCTCTTGTTATTTCAGTTTCCGTTTTTAAAAGCGCCGTATGTTGAGCCACCTTAGCTTGATTTGGCATGTGACATTTTTAGCGGCAATCATGGGTCGATTTTCTAGCGTTGCCATTCGGGGAGTTGTAATGAGGCTTTTTTTTGTCGCCGTGTAAGAGAAATATATTTATAGATTCTTAATCCTTTTAGGATGAAAGGTTTGAAACTGCAATATTTTTGCTTTATTGAAAAAAGGTTTTTTACTACTAGCATTTTCATGAAAATAAAAATTCCAACACAAGGTGGCCGTAAGGTTACATGCTTTCTAGGTAATAGAGGGTGCCCTTAAATTAATGTCCTAGTTTCAATAGCAGCTTAATATAGACTTATTACAACACATCATACATGAAATTGAATGTAATTAATTAATAGTTACATGTGTTTAATATGAGCACCATACGTGGGAACGTTACTCTTAAAATTAACGAGTAAAAGTATTTTAAGTAAAAGTAATGAGTAAAAAGTTTTGATTTGAAAAAGTAACGAGTAAAAACTACAAGTACAAAACGAAAAAAAGTAACGATTTTAATATACATTTGGTGGAAATTTGGAATTCAAAGTAACATTAAATTTCATCAAAAAAAAATGTAAGAAAAATATTATTTTAATTTAAAATGAATTAAATTTTAATTTAAATGCATAAAATTTAAAATGAAGGAAAATGTTACAAAATTCATTGAAATATAAACGTTGAAAATATTCAGTACCAAAAAAATGAAGAAAAAAAAAATCAAAATTCAATGTCTACATTTCTGAAAATATCAATGTAAAGCTTTGACTGCATGCAACGACACGAGAAATTGTGTTTTCTTGAAAAAATTCAAAATTCAATAAAACCTGGTGTATCCACATAGCTTCTTTAAAGTCATGCCTGTTTAAAACATGCAGCTTGCAACTTATAGCTTTAAAAAAGGCTGTCCTGTACTTTTGAGTAAAAAAATTATTTATTATTTGTTCCCTTTTCAACATTTCGCTATAAGAATATTGAAATATTATATGGTAGTGAAATTGTCTTTTGATATTCTAATGATATAACTTACTTATTTACAGTGCCTGGTCAAATTATTAGACACACTATAAGATTCTATGCAAAATCTTAATTATCAAGTGATACTATACTGCTTTATTGTTTCTTATGTGACTGAAACCGGTTTGCACTTTTTTACTTTCGTGTATCAATTGACTAAATTAGACGATATATAATATAAATTCAACGATTGGAAAAATTAGACGATTGATTGTATAAATTAAAAACATTTATTGTATCAGGTATTATAGTAGTATATTATAATTATTAGAATAAATTATTAGAAGCACTGTAGTGTTTAAATAATTGCATATTTTGCACGAGTTTATAGGCAATACTTTTAGATTTAAACACGCATGTAATGGGTTTTTAATCAGGAGATTTTTCATATACTTCCTATTTGTATTCATTTTTGACGTATTACATTAGAATATTAACCAATTGATACACGAACATAAACAAGTATAAACCGGTTTCAACCGCGAAAGAACAATAATGCTGTATAGAATCACCTGATAATTAAGATTTTANATTAATGCATACTAAAGCGTGCTACTCTACCATTGGTTCTGATAGTTGTTGTTGTTCATTTACGTCGCACTAGAGCTGCACAATGTCTGGGAAGCATCCCTGAGGATGATCCGAAGACAAGCCATCACAATTTTGATTCTCTGCAGAAGGGATGGCACCCCCGCTTTTGGCAGCCCGATGACCTGCACGCGAAGTCGGGCACTTTAAGGTAGAACTGTTTAACGAGGACGCATACCGCACACCTTTGGTCCCTACGCAGACTGATCCAAGTGGTCACCCAACCGCACACTGACCACAGCCAGTGATGTTTGACTTCGGAGATCTGCTGGGCACCGTGTCTTAACGATCAGTCCACTACGGGACAGTGGCTTTTTGGAAATCGTCTGTGGAGCATATTTTTTATATTTAAATTTTTTATTTTTCAGTGTGATAGAATATCTGTATTTTTCAGACTGACAATATCTATCTGCATTGTAATAACTGCACATTTTTTCCACAAAATGTTTAATTTCTGCAACCAATGTTTATAATTAGTTATTCCGAAAAAATGCAACTGTTTCTTAGCTATTGTCAGATTTCAAGAGTAAATATTGGCTTTCTGCCATAACGATGACGATTATTTTTAAAAATTATATTGATATAATCCAAGGTCTTTAATGACAAACTGGCAAACCTTCAAATAACTGGCAGTAAATTAACGACCCTCCTATTCATCAGGCAAATCAGAACTGCATATTTTGAAGCTTCCCAACCAGAGGGCACTGAAAACAAGTAAATATATACGCAAATATGGAAGAGAAAAAAAACCCAGATATTAAATGTTTTACTATAAAAATCGGATGATATTATTTTGCTGCAAGAATGATAGCCAACCAATTAATATTACAAACAATCTTGAAAAAAAAAAACGACTTCCTTGAATTATTTTATTTTTAACGTTACATTATACTTACTTTTAATTAATAAAACTTTTTTCGATTTGTTAAACATTTAATAAAATATTTTTAAAAAAGCTCCTTTCAATGTTAATTATTCAACTTTTTTAGTAAATTTATTTATAATAGCATGCAATTAACTCAATTATTTTATATAAAATTTAATCACTTTAGTTGGGTATCCATTGTTTTTTTATTGAATTCTGAAAGAGTTAGTCTATTTTTTTGGGGAATAAACATTATTACATATTGTTTTAATTCTATTCATTTGATTAAAAATTATATTAAATAGATGTTTTTAGAAACGTTTCATTATAAAACAATTACAATCATTTCTTTTATCGTATAAATCAACAAAACAGATATTTTCTCTTTTGTAATACTCAAATACAAAAAATTAAAATTAATATTATCATCATGATTGCGAAGCAAGATTAATTCCTCGGTGTATATATTATTTAATAAAATTGTATAATCTTTGAAATTAAAGATAATTAAATTGTCTAAAAATCTAAAAACAAATTTAATATTAAGAGTATAATTTTTTTGTTGATAATAGTGCAAAAATAAGTTAGCTAAGAGGGATGAAAAATTATATCCTTGTGGTATTAGATCATTTTGAATAAAAATATCTTTTCCATTGTAAAGATAATTACTAAAAATATAAAAATTAATTGGAATTTCGTAATAATCAAAATCGCAATCAAGGATCACAGTAATAACTCAAAAGTATATCTTCTAGCTTAGAAAGGGAAATGCTATTGAAAAGATTCTGAAAATCAAGAATCCAGTTTTATTATGTTTAGTAAATTCTTAAATCTGTTGATTATTAGTAATAATCCAAGAAAGACCTTCTTTAATAATACTGTTAATAATTTTACATTAAAAAAAAAACAGAAATTATTTTCTTACAAACACCCCTAGCAACAATTTTACCTTGGCCCCAGATGGGTTTAAAATTGGCTTACTATGGGGTTCTGTATCAACATGTACCAAGCGACCAATATTGGAATGTCTAGAATTTTTTTAATATTGGCCCTATAGGTCGCTGGGCCCATGTCCAAGAGTTCGTGGGTTCGATCCCAGCCGGTCGAAGACTCACCGTGTAGTAAAATGGTGACTGGTGCACATTAAATCAGTCGAGTCACAAAGTCCTCCATGTTCCCATAGCAACTCAATGCCTCTGCGGGTACTGATCCAGNGTTCCCTTGTCTTCTGGATTGGGCTCAAAATGACAAGGCTACGGAGTTGAACATTAGTAATCGTAAACCAAAAATTGGATCGGCTGTTTAACGGCGGTTATTAAATAAAAATAAAATATTAGCCCTATATGGGCCTAGTATCGGTCTTTATGGGGCTGAATGATGAATATTAAATATCGGGTAAATCTGACAGTTAGGGCTGATATTGGCTGCTTAATGAATATGAAAATATCGGGTGAATCGGACAATTCTGTGTAGGGCCTCCATTGGCTGAATGAATATAAAATATCGGGTGAATCTGACAATTCTATATAGGGCCTCTATTGGCTGTATGAAAATAAAATATCGGGTGAATCTGACAATTCTATATAGGGCCTCCATTGGATGAATGAAAATAAAATATCGGTTGAATCTGACAATTCTATGTAGGGTCTCTATTGGCTGAATGAAAATAAAATATCTGGTGAATCTGACAATTCTATAAAGAACCTCCATTGGCTGAATGAAAATAAAATAGCAGGTGAATCTGACAATTCTATGTAGGGCCTCCATTGGCTGAATGAAAATAAAATATCGGGTGAATCTGACAATTCTATATAGAGCCTCCATTGGCTGAATGAATATAAAATATCGGGTGAATCTGACAATTCTATGTAGGGCCTCTATTTGCTGAATGAAAATAAAATATCGGGTGAATCTGACAATTCTGTATAAGGCCTCCATTGGCTGAATGAGTATAAAATATCGAGTGAATCTGATAATTCTATATAGGGCAAATATCGGAAAATAACAGCCCTTTGAACCCTTACTGAGCCAAGATTCGCGAATATTGGTTCAATTAGGGCTTAAGTTATTTTGCTGCAAGTGACAGTAAAATACAAATATTTATCAACTTACTTAACAAACATGGCGACTCCCGTTGTATCCATAGCTCTGGCAATGGCTTTCCAAGACTTGGATATGCTGAATTTCTGTCGGGCTGTCAGTGGTATCCGGGGATCTTGGGGAGGAGGGGCGGCGGGAGCTTCTGTAGCGTGATTAAGATCCTGGACACTCCCGTTCTTTTGCGCTTTAGCGAACGTGCAGCCCATTGTGAGTTTTAAATACTGTTTTCTATAACGTGTTCACAATCTTAGGAAGTAATAACTCTTGCATCTTTGCAAATGCTTCTCAGTAACGTTTTGTTCCTTCAAGTTCAAACCTGGAAGAAAAAAAAATATTTCTTGTTGTTTTATTTTGGAAGAATTTTATTTCAGTTATTTTTCAATTGAAAATGTTGCAGTAATTTGTAAAATTTCTTTACTGTTGAGTTATTTAAAATTTTTTTTTTCTTGAATTTGTAACGAACTATCATAAATAGCAATGATATCAATCTTAATCATTTAACGATGGATTATAATTGAATAAAAAAAATTCCATTAAGCCGGTGAAAGTAATTAATTCATTTTTTTTGATTAAAGAAATAAATATCACACAAAAAAATAAGAAAAACTAGTCAGTTAAAGTATATAATAAAAATTGTAATCGCCATGTTACAATCATTGGTTACCCATTCCTCATATGCTTTTTCTTCTGGTTTGACTCCGATAAACGTCACAACATTTCAAATCATGGGTTGCAAAACTGTCTCAATTCAAACAGCAGCGGTCGCCATAGCAACGCATGCAATGACGACCTATGCGCACTGTTTACTATTACACTTGAACTCAGTTGAAAAATGTGATGACGTCCAAATACCGTGCGCACGCCATCAAACACAAAGTAATACCCATTTTGCCGAAGGGTAATAAAAGTTAACTTTTATAACCAACAATGGTCCTCATTTTTGGAATAAAATGTTTATGAGGTTAAAATTGCAGTTTTTGATCATTTATAGCATAATAATTGCTTTGAAATAAAGAAAATAAATTTTATGTATGATTTCAGCACATAAACGAATCAAAGCTCAGACCAGAAAAAAAGTAATGTATTTTTTTGAAAGAAAAATTAAAATGTTAAAAGACATTTATCCTTAACTAGCACTAGCTTTAATGCTAAAAAATATTTAGCCCGCGTAGCTTCTCAGAAATTAGTCTCATCGGCTTGGATTTGTTTTTACCCATTGGTAAAATGGGTTTTGTTTTGGATTTGATGGCGTACACACCTTATTCGGACGTCATCAAACTTTTCAACTGTGTTCAAGAGTATTAGTAAACAGTGTGCATGCGTTGCTATGGCGATTGCTGCTGCTTGACAATTCACTTTTTTCACTTTTAATTTTGTTATGCATCAAGTTGGTGAATTTATTACTCATTGTTTAAATATTGTCTTAAGTTAAAACTTTAAAATGAACAACTGAACAACTTCGGTCAACTTCAAAACTATTATATCAAAAATAGAATTGAACAAGTCATAAAAAATCAGGCTAACATAAGCATTAATAAAAAATGGACACAGCAAGATCAAATTGAAAAAAGGCAGACGATAATTTTGGAATTTTTTAAAGTTGATTGTTTTCACCTCTGAGTTTTTTCTTTGAATGTCCTCAGCGAATGTTTTTATGAAATGTTAATTTAAATTATTTTCATATTCATTTTGTGATTTACTTATTTATGATTAATATCTTGGCCGTGATTTTATATGATATAAATATGAATACTGAAGAAAGAAAAGAATTTTGTGACGTCTTAAAAAGTATATATTGACTGGAATTAATGAAAACCAAAGAACAACGATAAAAGGACAAATCAATTGATGCAGTTTTTACAGCCAATGACAATTTTTGTTTATGAAGGTCTATTATGGAAGAACATTTGACCAATGAGTAACCAGTGATTGCAATATTTCAATCACAATTTTCTTTCTTTCGTAATTGGGTATAATATGAAAAAAACACAACTATTTCGATTTAGTAGGAACAACATATGACGCAATGCTAAGCGAATGGAATTTAGTTGTTGTTTATTCAGTTATTGTTATTAGTAGTTGTTATTTGTTTTAGTTGTTGTTGTTTATTTAGTTGTATTTAGTTTCANGACGTAGGCTATAGTATACCCAATTGGGTATAATATGAAAAAAGCACAACTACTTCCACTTACTAGGAATAACATTTACCTTTTAGTTTAATTAATAAACTGAGTTCTAAATATGATTACTGAATTCATATTTCAAAAGGAACTAGACCAGTGGTCGGCAAAGTGCGGCTCTGGCACAAATATCCACGGAAGGCGCAATAATATTTTCATTTAAAAAAAAAAACTTGGTAAGAAAAAAATTACATCTTATTTTGATAAATTAAAATTCTTCTATAAATCGAGAACATGCATAATTTTTTGTTTAAGTTCGATAGATAGGTAATTAAAATTTTATATTGTTGTGAAAATACGTAACGAACATCGAGTTTAATTTTATTAGTTTTTGTAAACGTAAACACAAACCATGTACAAGTTACCGGCTGAAATTGTTCGTATGTTTTCGGCGTACTCCGGTGAGATACAAAGGTACCACAAGCATGCGCGCGCATACTTTTTCTAAAATAGTGGGGGTACAAATTGGCATCACAGACCTGCTGTGTGAATAGTTATGTTGTCTGCCGTTGTCCTGTCTTATTAAAAAGTTGTTGTATTTTTCAATCTAACTGCATATCTTACAGGTATTTTTATACGATTTTATTACACCTGCTATGTATGTTTGTGGTTTCGGTACAAAATTTGCCATCGAGTTTTCGATAACTTCTATTTGTCCAAATGTTGGAAGTTTTCTTCCGATGCTTTGCATTGCAAGGAGATTTGGCTCCCAATTTTTTATTAAATTGTTGTAATGTTCATATTTGGCTCTTTGGCTAATAAGTACTAAAAAAATATATANTTTTGATTATGTTTACCGATTTGAAACTCGTTTCTATAAATCTAAATTGGGTATAATATGAAAAAAAACACAACTACTTCTACTTACTAGGAATAACACTTACCTTTTAGTTTGATTAATAAGCTGAGTTCTAAATATGTTTACTAAATTCACATTTCAAAAGGAACTAGACTAATANCCCAAACAAGCTAAAAAGGAACTAGACTAATACAATTCCAACCTGCCGAGTAGCGACTTTATAACAACACATTTCATTTAATGTTTACTTGTAGCTAAAAATCAGGTTCGCAGAAAATGCTGTTTACTAGTTAAATTTAGTAGGAATAACACATCTTGTGACGTAGGCTATAGTATACACAATTACCTTGTTTATTCTTTAGACAAAAATTTTATTATATATTTGTTGTAATTATTATTTTTCTCTTCAATTTAACTTTAAAAAATGCACTGGAAACATAGGTAACATGTATAGTATAGTATAACACTCAAGTATAACACTCACTAAAGTAGTGTAACACTCACTTGAGTATAACACTCACTCAAGTGTAACACTCACTTAAAGTATAACAATAAGTAAAACTATGCAACACTCACTAGATAAGTATAACACTAAGTAAGTATAACACTCACTTGATTAGATAAGCAATGTCGGACGCATAATTAATTATGAGTCAGAGCTATTAGATGCATATCGATTTGGGTGGTGCGATTTCATTTGACTCGGCGGAAAAAAGTTATATCGGAAACATTTTATCACTCTCCTGGATAGCGACGAGTATGATAAAGTATATGCTTATGAATGATGTTTTTGATATAAATGTAAACAACAACAATCTCGAGCTTTTGACTAGCTCCATTTTCCGGCTAGAAAGTATACAGCTGCTTACTACAGCTTTTTCTGCGAGGCGATGTTTTCAAACAGACAATTTTGTTTTAAGTAAAATAAATGAATTACATAATTTCTGAGCTCAAATATGCTGTATTTCATAAGATATTAAATAATTCTGGTGAGTTTGAAGTAAAAATTTGTTTTAGTTATTTAGAGACGTATTGTTAAAAAAAGATGTCATGGTTGCTAGATTTAGAAAGAACTCGTTTTTTTGGCCTACCTGATTTGGCCTCTTTTTACTTGTTTATTGATGTTTGTTCTTGGTGCAATCCTTGCATTATCATACGTTATTGTTAGCGTATTGTTCGAGCAGTGAGATTAAGTTCATTTTACGAATTATCATTTAGGTTTAAATTTCGAAGTTGATTGATTTGAGGATTGATTGGGAGAAACAGCAGTGTTCGGAGTACCGGGCAATTGTATACCGGGCAGTGGCACTGAACCTTAAAATACCATCAGTATAGGGTATACCGGCACTATACCTAGTATATATTTCGGCCATTTACCAAATTTACCAAAGCGACTATGAGATTGTCAACATTCACCGGTGGAAATCAACAACCACGCNATATATATATATTTGTTATTGAAATAGAGTGTTTGTTATTAGTTTTGGAAGAGAAGCATTCACCATTTCAAAATTAATATTTAAATGTTTAATAAATTGAAAAAAAAATTGAATTTTTTTTACTTAGAATGTTTTATAATATAGAAACAAAATGAAACAATAACAGTACCTACATCAATATAACAATAATAAATATCAGGAAAACGTTTTTAAAACCATATTTGAAAGTTAGATTTTTAAAAAGGAGAATAATGTCTCTGTTATCAATATTTATTTCTTTTTAATTAAAAAATAGTACTTCGTTAGAAATGAATCAATCAAGATATGTTCCTTAATTAGAAATTAAGATTCTGTTCCTTAATTGAGTAATTAAACTAAAATTATAATTAACAATTGAGCGATAAAATAGTAATTAGAAACGAGCAGATTTTTCATTAGCGAAGGGTACTTTTCAAAAGGAAACATTTTATATCCGCACCTGAGTCAAAGACATTTCTGTTTTAATGATATTCAGAACAATTATAAAATAAGAAATGCTCATATGAAGTTACTTTGAGAACGAAAATTAATTAAATTTGTTCTTTCGAGAACTGCCTCGGAAATCTACAGGCATGAGACGCATTTTTTATTTAAACCACCGAATCGTAGTAGCACTTTTATAACACGAAGCGTCACTGCATTATTTAGGTCCTATCCTATTTGAATTTATTTTTAAAAAAATCATTTTTATGATTAAATACTTAATTATTATCATATTTGAAAAGATGCATTTTGATGTATGAATTACAAAAAAAATTATCGTTGCCAATATTCAATGTAAAAATAGATACACGTAATTAATGACAATGTCGTGGTTTTAGACGGAAATGTTCCCTGGAAAGTTCTTTGGGGGTCTGTC